TCCTGATCGTTTTCTTGGCCAGTTGTCGGAGAAGAGGTTCAACGAACTGTTTGAACGCGCCGCCAAGCTTGTTCTAGAAGAGGGCAAGGTACAGTTTTGGTTGGCGTTGTACTTCCCACCATTGAGCTCACACATCTTTTTCTGTGATCGGAAGACCAAAGCTCAGGTCACAGCAGTCCACTTGAGCAAAGAATGGTCCGCTGTTTTAGAGATGCATGAAGCACCCTCCAGCCTTGTGAAGAAGGTATGTGGCACATAAGTGTACAGCCACCAAGAGAAGATGTTGTTTGACTGAGTCACTGGCGCTCCCAGAAACGTTGGGCTCTGCACAAGCTTCAACTTGACGTGGTACATCAAACTGACAACAGCCAGACCCTGCTCATTCTGTACACTTACCTTGTTTGAGAAACAGCCTGTGACTTCAGCCCTGGAGGAAGCGCAATTCTACATGCCAATCCAGAGACTCTCCATTGTTGGAGGCGTACATGCACTCCTGTTTGCCCTTTTGCCTCACTCGGTCTGTCACTAACAGAGGTGTTTGCTGTTTCAGGCTCAGCTGCCCTCAGAACGAACCAAAGCCCTGCATCAATTCTTACAACAGTTCCTACAATGGAGCGGGCTGAAAGAGCTTGATCTTCATGAAGCCGATCCTGCTCTGGTGCGGGCTCTTCTCAGGAGCATTGCCACTGAGCCCTTAAAGGAGGGTCATCATGCTTTCAAGGTACTTAAACATGTCTCATGTTGGTTGCACTCTTTATTGGGGGCAAGAAATACTCATGCATGCTTCAGAAGCTCGATTTGCGTGGGTTTGAGGTAACTGCAGAAGATGTTGACCTCATCAGGAAGATAGTTCGCTCCAGTAGGACCGAGTTCCTTGACCTGCGCGGTCATGCCATTCCAGGTGACATTGCAGCATTTCTCTCTCGCCACACCCTTGTGGACTCTCTTGGTGTTACGGTACAGCTTGTCTTCTTGGCTGCTATTGGTTGGTGGAATTACTGAACTTGTATCCTTGGCAGACTGCATCAGAACAGGACGCAGTGGTCATTGCTGGACAGGGTGGCAGGCGTCTCAAGGCCCTCTACTTGGATGGGAAATGGATCTCCTCTGCTCGGAAAGCAACATGCCCCTCTTGGTGTGTTGCTTCATTTGTGGTACGCTGCCCTTTATTTGTTTGAAACTGGGTGGAGGCTTAATTGTCTGGTCGCCAATCATGACAGGAGGGGGACCTCTCTGTGACCTCTCCAAGCTTTTGGTGTCCCTCAGTACTCGCGGAGGTATTGCCTTATCGACTGTCCTTTTTGCGTCTTGGTGACACCATTGCTCTCACGCCATTGGTACATGAGCCAAACCCTCTCCAATTTATGCATCAAGGCCTAAACACAAAAGCTTGCTTCGCCCTCCAGGTCCGGCGAGATAAACGTCTCCCAAGTCCTGGTCAGCTAGACCTTGCACCTGCTCCTCCAGACCTGGCGGAAGATCCAACAACACCTCGCCTCCTCGAGTTTCAGCGAAAGGGGACCATCCACTTTCTCATCAAGACCATGTCCGCCATTGGGCTGGAGGACCACCTGGCAGCCAGGTTCTTCTCGAAGGTCTATTGCTGGCTTCCCTCGCATCTAACCGTGCGCGGCCTAGCCCAGGACCTGATCACCGCCGAGTACGATCAGAGGAAGGCTGCCGGCGCACTCACTGGAGGTATGCCATCCCTCTTGTGGGTATTCATCAAGTCTTGTACTTAGTGCTCATCTCCTCTACCAACAGATGACCTTTCAGCGTCGCTCGTGGCCATTGGTTTCCAGCGGGCCGTTGTTGACAGCTTCATCGCAAGGATCAAAGACCGCGAGATCGTGCACCATCAGGGCTTGAGGAACGTCGCGTTCGATCTCATCGACTCCGGCATTCACCATTGGGCTGCCAACTACTACACCCATTCGGACGAGCCCGAAGATGGCGAGACCAAACGGAAAGGGTCGGCTGACTGCGGTGGCCGCGACCTGGGGAACGGTGGCCGAGGCCAGGGCGGTGGCCGAGGCAGCGGCCGAGGTGGTGGCCAGGGCAATGACAGCGACAATGAGGGAAGAAAGAGGAAGAGAACCAATGCCAGGGAGGCGGCGAAGAGGAGGAGGAAGAGGAGGAGGAAGAGGAGGTCATCACCCTCTTCCACGGGACCACGTTCGAGGCTGCGAAGAGCGCCTTCCGCAGAGTCGACCTGCGCCGTGGACGCGAGAACACCGACTTTGCCATCGAGAGAGCGTTCTACCTGGGCAACAACGCTTCGCTGGCACAGAGATGGGCGGATCAAAAAGCTGCCAGCAGGGGGTGGGACCCGGTACCAGCCTACTTGGTCTTCACGGTGAACACAAGGATGCTTGCGAAACACAGGCGGAAGGAGTTCGGCAGAGCTGACGACGAGTGGAAAAAAGTACGTTCTCGCCCACGCAGTCCCTGCCACTGGAACACCTGCTGACCGTTACCCCAGTTTGTCTTCCACAACAGAAAACCTGTGGCGACTGGGCATGGCGCCAATTACGCGGACATGTGTGAAGAAGAGGAGCAGGAAGAGTTCGATTTCGTCATTGGGCCTGCGCTCGCAAACCTCCAACTTACGGCACGCTCCAGACACACCCAGCTTTTTTGTGGCTCACGCCACTAAGCACGCTTTCCCACAGAAATGGGAAGACTGTGAAGAGATGAGCGATGCCAGATACCCCTTCCGCCAGTATGCAGCGCTGACGCCGAGAGCCGTCGACTTTCTCAACCGGTCCCCCTGCAAGGTGCGCACCTTCCTTTCTCTCGCTTGCACTTTGGTTTGGCTTTGACTTGCTAACTTTCAGCCATCAGCTGTGCAAATGGGACACTGGCAAGTGGGTCGTGGTCGCTCAACGGCCGGCGTGATTGAGGGCAGGGCGCTTCTTTTCCTTCCACCATCTCACTCTGTGTATGCTTGTCCTAATTTTCATCAAGCGATTTCTCGCTGTTGTGAGCTGAGCGAGCGCCTTTTCGCGCAACGGCGTCTGTGTGCACGCTTGATCAGCTTCAAAGCATCCACTCCCACGCTGTCGCCCGTGTTGTTGTCTTCACTTCGTCTTCGCAATTTTGGCAAATCATGTACACTGGAGAAAAATAAGGACCGGTCCCGGCCCGGTAAAGGCCTCCAGACCGGTTCCGCACCGGTCGGGCCTTGCCCCAAGACCGGTTTGCGGACTTGGGTTTTTTGCTCGAAGCCGGCGGGCCGGGGCGGTCCGGCACCGGTCAGGCCGCAGGCGCCACCCGGTGGAGATTTACGCACCGGCTTGAGACCGGTGCCGTGGACTTTGGAAAAAGGTCGAAGAACCGGTCCAGACCCGGTGGCGCACACTCGCGTGCTCTCGCACCAGTCTTGACCCAGTGCCCCAGGCATTTTTGAACATAAACTTCTATGTGCTGCGCAAAGTAAAAACATGATCGCCCTCGCCATCGCCGTTGCCTCGCGCACTATGCACTCGACTTGTCCTTCAGAGCTACTCCACTCCATTTTAGTTTTTGGCACGCTCGCCATCGCTCGCCATCACCTCTTGCGCTACTTGCATGACTGGTCCATCTATTCAACTCTTGTGAGAGAGCATCATCAATTAGGGAGGCAAAACGCACTGTCTTCAGATACCCAATGGTGATGCTCTTGCTGAAGCTGCGTGAGTTGATTGGCGGCTTGTCCCAGAAGCAGCAGATACCCTTGCGGTTCTCAACACACCGTGCTGGGGCGTCACCACAGGTAGTGTAGAGTTTGTTGATCGTCCCCATGATGCTGTCATCAAACTTCTCAAGGACCACCCACATTCCAGACGACCCCAAGTTCAAACTTGTGGTACAGGTTTGACAAGGTGCATTCAAAGTGAACCGCAGTCCAATTCCTTGAGTGACTACTGTGATGTGCATGTACAACTGTACAACGCTAGGGGACTATATATAATATATTAATTATAACAATGAAGTGGAAGAGAACAACAAAGTGGAAGAAGGATGTACATTCAGAACCCTGTGTTGCCACCTCAGAGCTCTCATTGGTCTTGGCCTTCTTACATGCTGGCTGTGAACTTGAGCTCTGCTTCCTCACTGTACCTTTTACCTATGACAAACAAAATCTCTTTGAGTAAACACAGCATCACGTCATCCAGATTCACATACCTCCTTTGTGGGCTGGCTTGCTGTTTTGTTCTTATTTTGAGTTGCTTGCTTCTTGGGTGGCCCAATGGGGTTGGAGTGTGGGAATTCACTGAAGAGGGACAGGTGCTCTGTGTGTAGGAGCTGAACTTGCACCTGGTCCAGGACCTGTTCTTGCTCAAGGCCATCAATGTGCTGTTCCATCAAATGATGAGCAAAGTGAGTAAACAACTGAGAAGAAGAAGCAAGTGCAAGCACATACATTGAAAAGGCTGCAGCCCCTCTGTTCTTCCTCTCCAGTGGAAAAAACTGGTACTGGGTGCTAACTTTTGTTCAGTTTTTTCTCAGATATTACTGTGTTGTGGCAATAAATCCTGGAATATTGTTTCACAGATTGGCACAATGAGAAAACTTCGTTTGCATTTGTTTGGGAGCTCACTGAAGTGCTCACATTCCAGGAACAAGACTATGCAAAGGGAATGGCCAAACTTCCTTTAAAAAGGCAGTACAAGAGTTATTTTATTTCACAAAAACCAACATGAAGCCAAACAAGAAGCAGAAGACACACAACAACAAGCAGCCCATCCAATGTTGGCTCTGCAAGCTACATGTTTCTGCCAAGGAGGTGGAGGCAGCTGTTCATTACTTCAATTGTTTGGTGAAGGTCCTGCAGAGGTTCCCTGAGGAGCTAACACACTTGCTCTCTTGTCTACCAAGTCTGCCAACTGTGTTTGCTCCACCACCTGCATTCTCTTCACCAACTGCTGCCACTCCATCAACTGCATTCTCTTTGCTGACCACCACTCTGCTGACTGTCTTCTCTTTGCTGACCACCACTCCACCAACCACCACTCCACCAACTGTCTTCTCTTTGCTGACCACCACTCTGCCAACTGTGTTCTCTTTGCTGACTGCTGCTCTGCTGACTGTCTTCTCTTTGCTGACTGGCACTCTGCCAACCGCATTCTCTTCACCATCTGCCACCACTCTGCTGACCACATTCTCTTCGCCAACTGCCACCACTCTGCTGACTGCATTCTCTTCACCAACTGCCACCACTACGCCAACTGATGCTCTGCCAGCTGCCACACCCCCAAGACATTCCCTGGGTACCTGCTGCATCCCAACAGTTGCACAACTGTCCATGTCATCATCAGCATCAAGAAACCTGGCAGTGGTGAAACATCAGCAACCAAATTTACGTTCTGCAGCATCTGTCACTTCAAGGAAGGAGGAGATACTCTATGAACCTATGAAGGATGGTTGAGCAAGCTCTTGACAGTTTGTGACCCTCTTCAAGGGACCCCACAAACTGTCCACTGCAAGGGCTGCACACCTGTGGCAGCCTGCAGCAGTGATCTGATGCTTGAGGGGGTTGTGAATTCATTCTTCCACTCCCCTGAGTGTTTGCTCCACTTCCTGAGTATGGAAAGCAGAACAGGATGGGAGAAACTAATGAGACAGAAGAGAGGGAAGAAGAGAAAAGAACAAGAAGACTAATAAACACAAACAGTTTGCAGGGTTAGGGGATACCCAATTTGCTGCAGTTGTGGGTCTCTCCACAGTCAGGTTCCTGGAGCTGTGGCACAAACTTTAGGATCAGCTGGAAAACAACAAGAGCAATGGTAGTGGGAAGCATGATGCATGAGGATGTCACAAGCAGCTGGGCACTAAGGACTGTCTTTTTCTTCTCTTTCTATGGTTACACCATTATCTGTGTGAGGAACTATTATCAGTTATCTTTCACATTTCCCAGTCCACTGCTTCCAGTTATCTCCACTCAACACTCAAACTTCTTTCCACATACCTTGAAGCAGCATAGCTTTTATGTTTCCCATCTCACTCCAACCGTCTCCAATGGTCTGTTCAGCTAAATGGCTATTACCTGTCAACAATTGTGGATTGTAATGAACAGGAACACCTGAGCTGTGGCAACAAGCATGAAGCAGTGGCAATATTCAGTGGCAAACAGGGAAGACCTACCTGGACAAAGCTCCTTACATGTTCTCCATATGGTGACATTTACTTCCTCTCTGCATCATACCAGGGCTCAAACAATGATCCAATGGTCTATATGAAAAGAGAGAATCAGATTCATCAGTTCCTCTCCAAGAAAGAAGCTGTTGGTGGAGATGCAGCTTTTGCCTTCATCAATGAGCACCACCCAACACTCACAACCACCCTTGGAAACACAGAGAAAGATAAGGACTTCAACAAGAGGTTTGTACCAATCTGGCTTGTTGTGGAGAATGTATGTGGAGTTCTTGAGCAACGCTGGCCTATTCTGAAGAACACATTTCGCCACAACAAGGCTTGCCACAACGGGGTGTGGTCAGTCTTGGTATCCCTCCACAACTGCGACGTACAGGCAGGACGACTTGTTTTACGTGGCAATGACTTTTGGGAAAGATGGCATACCAACAGCTGAGACCGCCACCAACTGCCTACCGCCACTGGAGAAGACCGCCGACCGCCGACCTCCTACCGCCGACCACCGACCGCCGACTGGAGAAGACCGCCGACCGCTGACTGGAGAAGACCGCTGACCGCCGCCCGCTAACGCCGCTGAAGAAGACAGCAACTGCTGGCCATGCTGACCGCCACCAGAGAAGACCGCCGACCGCTGACTGCCACCCGACAAGACCCAATTAGAACAGACCAGAGAACCACACACACCACTCCAAACACACTCCACCGCACGCACCAGTCCCACGTGGCGAGGGGAGTGAGAGAGAAAGAAAGAGGAGGGTGGCAGTGGTGGTTGTACCCTCGGCTTCACACGAAGACCACCCACCGCCGACCGCTGACCGCCGCCAAGAAGAGAAGACTGTCAGCCGCTGACCGCCAACACTGCTAAAAAAAAGCCTCCGGTTTCGGCTCACTTGCCGCACACTTGGTCCCCACTTCGAAGTGGGCCAGAGCACTTTTGCCGCACTTGGGGTGAGGCGCAAGTGCGAGACAGCGCCTCCCAAGTGAGTGTGCCGGAACTGCAGCCCAGCACTTCGTGGTCACCTGATCAAGGTGAGGCAAAAGTGCGGCAAATGTGAGTGTTGAGCAAGTGCAAGGCCACACTTTGCCAACACATTGGGTGGAGACAAGGGAGATGTTATATTATGGGTGAGAGAACAAGGCATGATTGATGGTTGAGTAATTGGTTGTTGGCTGTTGGTTGGTGGTTGTGGTGGTTGGTGGTTGGGGGTTGGGTCGGCGGTTGGTAGTGGTGGTGGTTGGCGGTTGGCAGTTGGTAGCTGATAGGTCAGTGGTTGGTAACGATAGGTTGGTGGTTGGTAATGTGGTGGTTGGTGGTTGGCAATTGGCAAGTGCTGGTTGGGAATTGATGACCATGCAGCAGTTGGCGGTCGGCGGTCGGCGGTCGGCGGTTGGTGGTTGGTGGTTGGTGGTTGGCGGTCGCCTGTCAGTGGTTGGGGGTCAGTGACAGTTGGCGGCAGTGGGTGATTGGTGATTGGCATTCCTAGATACACACCCATACACACATGAGATTCACACACACATGAGATCAGAACATTGATCAATGAAGTGCAATATTACCCTCAATCAGTTTAAATTGAGCTGAGGTCATTGGAGCCTTCAATGTGCAGATCCACCCCCATCCAGCTGCTCAATATACTTGCACTGCGTTAAATAACACTATTAGGTGCAGCAGGAATAGGTTTGATTGGTAGGTAGGTAGGGAGGGAGGCATGTACCTGTGTTGGTTGGCTTGCTCTGTTGTGGGCTCATGGTCACTGATGAACCATTTCAGTTGGTGGGCAGACTGGTGTGTGGCATCTTTGCTCTGGTGGAGGGTTGTGTTGTGGAGCTCTTCCTCTTTCACTGAGCAACATAACATGATGTGTGAGTTTTTAACACTCAATACCTCAACAATGTTGCAGGAAAGCATGGTGTCTCAATGTGCTCATCACCAACAAAATCCATTTCTTCCCTGTCAACCTCCCTTCTACTCATTCACATGATGGTGTTGTTGTGAGTTAACATGAACATCAACATGACTAAAAAAGTTACCTTCCATTGAGTGATGATTGAAGCTTCTCTATTTCAAACTGGGAGGGACCCAACTGATCTTGTTCTCCTGAAATGCCAGCCACACCAGCAGACCCACATGCAGCAATCAAGATCGCCAAGGTGTGGGTACCTTGGATGAAGTTGGCCCAGTGTCTCCTGTGTGCTGTACTCTTCTCATGCTTGGCCTGTGAGGTGGCCAACATGATGGGTAACTTACACACTACAGCCACCACTTCCCTGGTTCTTGCTGCATGTGGTTGCATTCAAGACAATATTCCTCATCCTCACCATTATGAAGATTGAAGAGCTTGTTAACTGCCTGGTGGCAGCCAGCACATTTAGCAACCTGACGCCTCCCCTGAAACTGTCCAACATGTCAAAAAATGGCTGAATCAATCAATCATTGATTTAAAGATTAACAGCAAATTCTAAACTCAATCAATCACGTTCATCAAGGTGTTTGTACCCTCTCCTGAACAGGTGCATTGTCAGACATTCTTTGGCCAAGTTGAACTCTTGCAAGATTGACTTGGTGTGCCAACTCATGGCAATTTCAGAAAAAACTGTTAAGAAACTCTGGGGAATTGAACTCAAGAAGATGATGGCCCAGTTACTGTTGTTGGTAATGGCCATTGACCAGAGAGTCTGTGCTGTCGAAGGGGGTTTGGAGAAGAGACTTTCTCCAATCAACAACAGTGATGAAGCCCCCAAGACACCTTTGAAACAATCTGACAAGACTGACACAACCTCAAGTTGGAAGCTATGGAATCAACAGATGGTGGGAGCAACACCACAAGCGCCAAGTGGGAGGCTGGAGAGCTTCTTGCACCTGTCTCAAGAGCCAAGATGGGCAGTGGTCAACATCCACAACCTGTCAAGATGAAGATGGGTGGGTCAGGACCCACCATCCAAGCTCAGCGAGGAGAGAGAATGATTGATCTCCTAGTGGACTCTGGAGCCACAGGCTGCTTCAGTAAGCAAGCACTGCTACCTGCCAGAGTGTCAACCTGACTGTGCAAGCAGACATGGACTATGGCCTCTGGGGAGGCACTGAAGGTCCATGGAAGAGCAGACTTGGTGCTGATGATTGGCACTGAAGTCTATTGGCATGAGTTCAACCTGGTTGAGGGACCCTTTGGATATGACACTATCCTGGGATCCAATGTGTTACAACAATTGTGTAGCCTGGCCTGGTCCATCTTGTCAACATCAGCAAGTTGGGCTTGTTTGTCCAGCGCTGCAGTGAGCTGCTCCTCAGACAGGTCTTCAAGAGGATACAGTGCAAACCAGTTCCCTCCTCAACCTCCATCCATCACCTCAACTGGCCTCTCACCAGGTCAAGCACTCCCCTGAACCTCCTTGAGTGGAACAAAGATGTGTTCTGCGTCAAGCTGGAACGCCATGGAGCCAGCAGAACCACAGCCCACCACATCAAGCTGACTGATCCCACACCAATCCAAGCCAAGGCGCGCTGCATGTTGCCCATGGTCCAGTTGAAGATTGACAACAAGGTGGGACAGATGGGGTCAACAGGTGTGTCACACACATTGAACAGTGAGTGGGCTGCCCCAGTCCTCCTTATTGACAAGAAGGATGGAGATGAATGGTTCTGTGTGGACTACTGTGAGCTCAACAAGAAGATGAAGTGGGATTTGTATCCAATGCTGGACATGAATGAGTGCCTTGAGGGCCTGGGGAAGGCCTGATTCTGATTGAAGATGGATTTCTGCAGTGGATTCTGGCAGATCCCTCTCATGCTGGAGGCCTCCAAGATTGCCATGTTTGTTATGTGATGAGGGCTCTACAAGCTGACAGTGATGCCATTCAGGCTCACCAACACTCTGGCTGCATTCCAGCAAGTGATGGACAAGATGATGGGCTCATCCAAGGGAGAGTGGTCGTGGGTACACATGGATGACCTCCTTGTCTACAGCACCACTTTCAACAATCACCTCAAACACCTTGAGGAGACGTTTCAGTGAATTTGAGAGTGAGAACTGTATGTCAAGCTCATGAAGTGCAAATTCGTGAGGGCCAAGATGGAGTATCTTGGCCACATCATCAGCAATGATGGGATCCAGACTGACCTGAAGAAGATCAAGTCAGTGCACAAGGCGAGGCTGCTGAAGAACTGATGGGAGCTGTGGAGCTTCCTCAGGTTGGCCTCATACTACTGGCGTTTCATACACAGCTTCTTACATGTTGCCAGTCCACTGTCCAAGCTCATGAGTGAGCAAGTCAGGTGGAAGTGGATGGTGGAGGAACAGAGTGCATTCAACACACTCAAGGAGGCTCTAGTGAGTGCCCCCATCCTCTGATACCCAGACATTGCGAAACCATTTTGGCTCTGCTGTAACACCAGCCTCTACGCAATCAGGGCATGTCTCAAGCAGACAAGTGACAACCAGAACTGGCATGTCATGGCCTACAGGAGTAAGGCGCTCAACACCACAGAGTGCAAGGGCTACATGATCATGTTCTTCCTGAACAAGTGGAGACACCTGCTGCTAGGAGTGGAGGTGGAGGTCCTATTGGATCGCCATGCTCTCCAATGGCTGTTCAACCAGTGAGACCCCATCAGCAAGATCATGCAGTGGATCATGAAGGTGCAGGAGTTCTTCCCACTGCAGATCATGCACTGAGCTCAGCAAGGGTAGAATAAAAAAATAAGACAACATTTGCAAGTCTCATCTTCACCACACAAGAAAAAGACACAAGTCACAAGACTTTTTTGTTTGGTCTCTTGAATTTTGGGCAACCCTTATGTTTGGTACCACAGTGGTACCAAAAAATAGCAGCAGGTCCAAAGAGAGGGCTCTCCAGAGAGCCAATCACCAAGAATGAGGTTGAGGAAGAGGCACCAGTGTTGGTGGCTGCTGTCCAAGTCAACAAGTTCAAGCAGAACAAGAACACTCTGCTGTCCAACCCCAATTTCAAGTGGATCATCAAGGCCATTGAGGGTGATGACCATGCCATGAGGGGGAAGATGACATGACAATTGGCTCTACTAGACCAAGTCATGATTGATGGTGTCAATGTCTACCAGACCTACTGGCCTACCAAGGGCCAAGGGAAGTTGACCAATGTGTCCACGCAGCTCCAATGGATCATGCCACAAGGGCTATAAGCTGAGCTGCTGGTGCACTACCATGACACACTGAGTGGAGGACATCTCAGGAGAGATAAAGTAGATGGGAAGTTGGTGACCCACTACTGGTGGCCAAGCATGTGGAATGACATCAACAAGTGGGTTCAAGTCTGCCCACAATGCCAGGTGCACTGAGATGAAGCTGGGCCAATGTCAGGACCACTACAGCTGATTTGAACATTGTGACTGTGGGAGAAGGTAGGATTGGACCTGATTGGTCCCCTGCCCAAGATGACCAGAGGCAATGTGTATGCTGTTGTCATGCAGGACCTCTTCTCCAAGTGGCCCAAGGTGATCCTGATTCCTGATGTGACTGTGAAGATGGTTGTGGAGCAATTCTTGACCCCATTGGGAGGTGGGGACCGCCAGAGATGATCATGAGTGATCAAGGACGAGAATTCGTGGCCAAGCTACACCAAGAGCTGGCCAGATGATTGGGCATCAAGAGGAGTTTCTCTACACCCAGTCACCTGCAGATGAACAGCCAAGTCAAGTGCTTCAACCAGACTCTCAAGTCTATGATGGCTTGCTACGCCAACATGAAGCAGGACAACTGGGATGTCTACATGCCACTACTACTGTACATGTATACAGCAGTAGTCTAACATGGAGTGTGTGAAGCCATACTGCAAGAAGCATGGAATTGAGGAGGAGAAATGACAACCCTCCCCTGCCTTGAAGGATGAGGAGTACAAAGTCGAAGCTATCATCAACCATTGTGACTGGAAGACAGGCTGTGAGTACAAGGTGCAATGGGTCAGCTACACTGCATGAGACAACACATGGGTTCACACCAACAACATCCAAGCCAATCAACTCATCCAGGACTACCTCAACAGCCACAAGCTGTGAGGTGGAACTGCAACAGTTCCATCTTAGTCAGGGGGTATGTGGCAGAGCCCAGCTCAGCCACGCCTCAGGGTGTGATCAATATCACACCTGAGGGAAACCCTGAGGGAAATGGGATTTTCCCTGGATTTACCACCAGAGATAACTCTCCTATATTATGTGTTACCAAGGGGTAATAAAGGACTTCTTCTGACACAACAAGGGGAGGACCTCCCTGAGGCCCATCTACTTGAGACCCAGCTGGTCTAATTCCCCTACACTCCTACACTTGCCTCCATCATCTCCTTAATGTTGTGGCAGTACTTGCCCAAGGTTGCACACCCTTGTGCCCATGTTGCCAGTCTGGCCTTCTTTGTTCTTGACAGAGGTACATAGATGCCACTCCCCTGCTGAGCCCACATTACTGCCAAATGACTTAAGAATCCCTTACACAGGATAAGTGCCAGTGTATCAAGAGTGTTGGCCTTCTTTGTGTTGAGGAAGGAGTGTGTCAGGAGGTGGAACAGGGACTTGACACAGTTGTTCATGTTTGTCCACCCTTTATGATTGAGAGTCTGGCTGAGATCATGCCATGCATCAATCCAGTTGGCATGGAGCCAATTCTTGGTGAAGTACTCAAAGAACTGTGGCCCCAATTTAATGTGCAGCAGCTCAAGCTGCTCAGCCCACTTTGCCTCTGTTCATGCACACTGCAACTTCAGGTGAGCAAGGACTTCAACATGATCTGCAGCTGACACTGCAGGATCAACTCAATGGGGGCAAGATTCAGGTGCCAGGCAAGTACCCAGATCAGAAGTTTTTGTTGGAGCAGGACCAGCATGTGTACAGAGTGCTGGTTGAGATTCTTCCCAGGCTGCACAGGATTGTCCTATCAATGTTGGCTCAGGCACTTGTGCAGGCGCACAAGGCACTCATCCTCACTGCTGAGGCCAGGGCTGTGGCGCTCATGGTGGTGGATGCCAAGGGCTGGACCACAGCTTCACTCCTCAGTAGAGGGACTGCTGTGCTGTTCATTATATTAAGGTGGGCGGTGTAGATGAAGGTGGTGTGCAAGTGGGCCAAGGCTAAGGCCTCTTCTTTTCAGTCCAGCTGGAGCTGCAGCCATCAGGAGGGCGCTGGGGACTCATGGACACACTCCAACAGAGATCACTTGCCCCAGAGGATGGGGAAGAGGAGCAAGCAGTCAGTTGTGTGCAACAAGTGCAATGAGTCAGGGCATTATGCCAACTGTTGCCCCAACAAGAAGCCCAGGGCAAGGAAGAAGCCCAGGGCCTCCTCCAAGTGAGTGGCCCACCAAGTACTGGGTTGGATCCAGTGGGGACTGCCACTGGTGCTGCTTGGGGATCTGGATGAGGATGGGCAGCAGCTCCCCTTCACCAAGGAACAGCTGGCCTGGCTGTGCATGGAGCTTGTGCAGCTGGTGGCAACCAGTACTGTGTGCTTCATGGGGTTGGGCAACTGACCAGAGGGCATGTGGCTGATCTTGCTGGTCTTCCTTGTTCCCAAGAGAGGCCCAAAGCTGTGGAGGCTGGTGATTGACAAGTGCCAGCTCAACCTTGCTCTTCCAATGGTTTGGTGCAAGTTCAAGTCCATTATCACCCTGGCACAGCTGGTGGGTTGCAACTGGTGGGCTGTGACTTTTGACCTGGCCCAGGGCAACCACCATGTGGCAATGCACCTGGACGCCTGCCCATGGATGGGCTTCTGGATTAAGGGCAGGATTTCTACTGATATGAAGTCCTGCCTTTTGGTCTCAAGTGGTTGCCATGGGTCTTCACCAAGATTGTTTGGGTGATGGTCTGCTGGTGGCGCTCACAGGACATCAACAACTTCTGTGTGATGGCAGCAACACACAAGGAGCTGCTCCAGACTTGTGACCAGGTCATTGCCCTGACCCTTGCACACCTGGGTTGGGTGTGCAAGGAGACAAAGGGCCAGTGGGAGCCAAGGTCTTGGGACTGCTGCTCAATCTTTGTCAAGGTTGTCTCCTGATCCCTGAGCAGAAGATCCTACACACTGTTAAGTGCTGCCAGGTCCAGCTGGGCAGCATCTCACTTGCCAAGTGCTGGCCAGGATTGTGGGCTACCTCATGTCTCTCACTTGGGCGGCCCCTAGTCCAGCTCTACCTGCACTCTTCCTTCACTGTGCTGGGGTGTGCCCACAACCACACTACTTTATTATATATCTGATAACCTTACCAATCACAAACAAGACACAAGATCATCCAATACTATGTTAGTGTGGGGAAAAAATCATTAAATAACAGTAAAACCACAACACTAAAGATAGACACCAATAATGACTCTATGTGGGGAAAATGCCTTTTTTTTCCTATTGGTCCCTCCATCTAGGTGTGAGGACTTGTGTTTTTCAGCCCTCAGGGGCTGGTCTGTGGCTGGGCTGCCTGTGGGTTGGGGCTGGTGGTGTGTTTGGCCACTGGTTGCAGACCAGTGGCGAGGACTTGGTTGGCAGGACCAGCCCTCACCTGGAGTTGCAAACTTCAATTGATGTGACAAATAAACAACAAGTCTGATAACATATGTACATGACCATCACATGGTTCCTGCTAATTGTGCACTCCAAATGATGGCAACACAGTGATGGACCTGTCAATGCTGGTGAGCTTCATCCACACAACTTGTCCTGCTGTTAAATGATCATGAGACAAGACATGAAGAAGAAGCATGGTATACAAGTATCTGGGGAGGTACCTTCTTGATTGTGTCCTTGCTAAGTTGGTGGCCAGGGTGCAGCTCAAGCACCTTGGCGCAGAAGCCCTCCTTGAAGTTCCTGCTCAACTTGCTATCTGTTCCACCATACCTGTAGTGGAGCAGCTCTGCATGCTCTTTGTGGGCAGTGATGACTGACAGCTTTGAGATCTTGGGCTTTGAATCCACCTTCTCTCTAATTCACCCCAACTCCTTGCAAAGCATGCTCTTAAAGTACTTGTTGTGCAACGCCCTGAGCTTTGCATTGAGAAGGCTGCAATCCACTACAAAACAATAAAATGTTAAATAGAAATGATACTGTGAATGAGCAGAATGTACAGTGCATGCTGTTGTAGGAGTGACTGACATGCTCTCTTTCTTCTTCAGTGCTGTTTTACATGCAATTTATGAGTCTTTACAACAAAATTAAAATGCAATGTTGCAAAGTGCTGCTTGCTGTTGAGCTGCTGGACACTGAATTTGCCTTACATTGCCCTAATGAAGATTAGATTTTTGAGAGATTTGTAGAATTTAAAACAATGTAATTGAGATATGAAGTGTACAGCTTGCCATGGCAATGAATGTTGTAATTGTATTCAACTTCTTGTCTGATCTTGTTGGTTGAAGGTGCTTGTGCTACTTGACCCAACATGGTGGGGAGAAGCCTGGAAGAATATCCCTTAGTAAACAATACGAAAAATCGATTTTTATCGATTTTTAAAATAATTAATAATCATTTTTCGCTTCTTCTGGTTGGCTGTTGGTGATGTGGCACCACAGGGGAGGTGTTGGAGTGGTTTGTTTTAGTCTTGATTTACAAATCAATCAGCACCTGCCTTGCATCTGTCCAAAACTGAATGGCATGAATTGAAACACAATTTTTTTTTGAAACAGTTTTGAAACTGCTCCTGTCATGTGGTAGGGATTTTTTACTGTTTCCTGAACTCAATGCACAGCATCAGCTCCTAGCACCCCTGCGCAGGTATTCAACCATGCCCTTTTTTCGTTGCATATGTGTACACAATGAAATATATCACTTACTCTCAAAATCAACAGCAGCCAGCCCTCCACAACCCCTCACTTGGAACCATTGCACAAGAGAAAGCAGCAAGATCATGAGGATACTGACACCCATGCCCACAGACTCAGCAGTGCCCACAACAACTGCCACAAGCACAGCCATGGATCACAATAGCACTTGTGATGATGTTGGTCTTGGATTCATTTGGTTGTGCAGAAGCTCCATTGATGTGGTAGCTGAAGTTGGCATGAAGTGGAGTAGCATGAAGGGGAGTGTAGTTGAGAATGCTTTGCGCTTTGGTGCTGGAGGTGTAGGCAGTAAGGACAAGCTGATAGAAGACATGACCTATTGTTGGATTGAAGGTATAGGACTTGTTCACTTGACCAATGAAGATGGTGTAGAGGCCTGTATGAGTATTGCATACATGTACACAATGAGTTGTCAGCATATTTCTAAGAAGGAGTAAGCTGTGGAAGGGGTAATGAAGAGCAATAAGTCATTGTGTACATGTACATGATGGAATGTACCATTGTGTTGGACCCCACTGGCGCTCTTGGAGTGGATGTTGGGGATGCTCTCTGAGATGAGACGCAGAAGCTGCCAGGGGCTATTCTCATTGGCAAGGAGGTTGAGAAGAGCCACCATTTCCAACACATTGGTCATTAGGACGGCAGCAAAGCAGTCTGTGTGGTGAGACAGGTTAGTAATCAAACACATGAGCCTTGATTCAGAGAGCAATGTGGGTTGGTGTAACCCATCAGTGCTAGTATGGGGCCATGTTGACCATGGCAATGGGCGTCCTCTACAGCATGGCCCTGTTCAAGGTGCGCCAGCAGATGAACAACAACAAGGAGGGCGTATAGTCAGAGGCCATTGTCAAGCAGATCCCAGTGGTGAGTAGATGCATCAATGGAGATGTTGCACAGGACAATGTCAACTAGCTTGGGATTTGTGCAAGTGACCTGGAGCTGTTCAATGCACTTGCAGAGGTCCTTCTGGTTGGATCTGGTCTCATCATGTGTTCTTGCTGGTTCAAAAGGTTCTTCTGCTGAGTTGGTGGATTTCCTCTTCCCTTGAGCCTTCACTTTACATTTCTCCTTTTCTTTAG